TCGGCCTCCCAGAGAGCTAGGATTACAGGCGTGAGCCACCGCGCCCGGCCCATGGGTTTTGACAAATATATAATGGCATGTATCCATCATTATAGTCTCATACAGAGCAGTTTCCCTGTCCTAAAATCTCCTGTGCTCCACCTGTTAATTCCTCCCTCCCTCCCTCCCTCCCTCCCTACACATGGAGCTTATACAGTGAGTTTATACGAATTCTTCATGGGACCTAAAAAGAAGGGGTGCTGTTTACAGGGTCCAGAGTTCAATACATATTAATCAAACCCTCTTTATTGATTTAATTGTTTAGGTTTTCTATATCCTTATTTTTTGTTTACTTGATCTGTCTTGGACCAGGCAGTAAATTAAAAGTCTCCTACTGCTAATACATTTGTGTTTATTCCTCCTGGTATCTCCTGAAACCTCTGTTTTATGAAAGTTATTTTGTCATTTAATACATAGTTATTTGGTGCATATTCATGATGTTAAATATTCACTGTCAAATACGCATTTAAGCTTTATGAAGTATCCTTCTTTGTCTCAAATGATGACTTTTGGCCTGAATTCTGCCTTTTATCTGCTTTTACATGCATACCTTTGCCCTTTTCGACTTTTGAACCACTCTTGTTTTCACTAAGCTGTCCTGGATACAGCAAAAAACCAGATTTTACTTGGTGATTCAATTTTAAAGTCTCTCCAAGAAGTTAGCTAAGGTCATTTAAAATGTACTGATATGAGCCTGTACTGCAAGAGCAAGACCCCATCTCTACAAAAAAAAACAGAAAAATCAGCTGGGCAGGTGGTATGCACCTAGCTACTCAGGAGGCTGAGGCAGGAGGATCGCCTGCACCCGGGAGTTTGAGGCTGCAGTGAGCTATGATCACACCACTGCACTCTAGTCCAGGCGACAGAGCAAGACCCTATCTCAACATAAAAAATGAAAAAAAAAAAAGTATTGATATGGCAGATGTGGCTGGTCTTTGTTTCACCATATTTTGCTATGTTTGGCTTAATAATTTTGTAAAAAGTCTTTTGCTGTTGTCTATTTTCTCTTTTGTGTAGTTACCATTTTCC